TGCTACCGGAAAAAAAACCTCGAAAACTGAAAGATTTTTCTCTCTGGAAGTGGAAACTATTGACCCAAAAGTAAATAGAAAAATTGTCAATCTTTAGGAGGCCATGATTCCATCTTAGAGACGTGTCTCTATCTTGGTCATCTCCTCCCATGACTTCAATGAAATGACCCAAAAGGGCCAATATTATAGTTTCATTAACCCTCTTTTAAATATCAATAGGGTTTATTTGCTCTTAAAAAAAACTCCCTTTTTACTTTTTATGAAAGACCATAATATCCTAAAACTTTTGAAGAAACATATGAGTGGTAATTTTGAATATATCAATTGATAGCCGAATCACCATATTCGCCTTGTCAGTCTTCATTGAATATATTTTTTAACTTTTCTATTGCCTATTGTGGAATTTTCACAAATTTTTTTCTTTTTTTTTAAGTTCTAAAATCTTTGGATGGGATTAAAGTTAAAAATCCAAATGAATTGGCACTTTTAAATTAGAATTATATAATATAAGACATTTTATTTTTAGTATAAGGGGTTCACAATCTAATAAATGTGAAATCTAACATCTCAGGATGTATCACATATATTGAAAAATTTTCTTTTGAATTTTGAGAACAATGGGATATCCTCAACCAACCTATTTCAAATCTAACAACTAAGATTGATTATACATTATTCATTTCCTGTGACCCAAAACACATTGCAAACTTACCCACTATTCAATCACAAGGAGTGTTTAATTTTGGTGGGGAGCCCCTTTGGTAGAGACCATCTAATTTTTAAAGTGCGAGATCTAGGTGTTAGAAAAATCAAAATTCAAAATTTTTATTTCGAGAACAATTATCTAGTGATTCTAAGGTGGTTCAAAAAATTTCAAATTGAAAAATCTCCCCAAGTAAGTCTTTTGGCCTAGGGAGTAGATGCAGGAGCATAGTATACCTATTGATTATCAATAGGGTGAGGTTTGTATAAGTTGCACACTATATACTATACAAATAAAGCACATCTAAATTTAAAGACTTGAAAATAAAAGGTCTAGATAACTTGTTACAACATGCATTAAAAAAACTTGAAATTAAACCTTAACCCGTCCCAAGCCCTAGTAAAGGAGATGGATTGTACTAGGTAGGCAACCAGTATAAAACTTTACCACGTATTATCATGAATCGTAATCCTTCGATATGAAGTAGTGAAAAAAAATATAGTGACTTTTAATCTTACTGAGGATATGACCCTTGATAGAGAAAAATGGAGGAATATGATTCCTGTAGCCAACCCCAAATAATTTGAATAAAGTTTGGGTGATGTTGATGATAATATCCGCATATTTCAAAGTCGAGATAATCAATTGGAGTTTTCTAACTTCAAAATTCTATTTTCTTCTTGATATTTGAGGTGTATTTTACTCCTATAAACTTCTTTCTTATCAAAATCACCTTCTAACTTCAAAATACTCTTTTCTTCTGGATATTTGAGGTGTACTTTACTCCTATAAACTTCTTTATTATCAAAATCACCTCTTAGACCATAAGGACATAATTGATGACATATTACCAAATCACATAGTAGAAAAGTGTTATTTATGTACGGGACACATTCCCACATTTGCGTTCTTCAAGGCATAAACCACCCATTTTTAAGAGGGAAACGTTTATACTAAACAATCAAATTCAAACTTATCTCAAAAATTTCACTAAAAGAGGTTGTTTTGATGCTCAGATATCTTCAAGTTGATCATCTCGACATCAAGATGCATTGACATGAGAAAAAAATAGATTTCACGTTTTGAAAATAGTGTATTTTATACTGTATTTTTGGACCGTCAATTTCTAAGATTTTCAAGTTTCATAGATCTCTCGATCTCACTATTTTTTAAGCTTCAAACTTTATAAATGAGGATAAAAATATATTTTAAGGCAATCACAACGATTTTTTATATTGAAATGATATTTCTCAACACCATTTGAAAGTAAGCTCTAATTTGATTGTTTAGAGCCTAGGCTCTATACAAACCGCACCCATTTTAAGATGCATGTAAATGCCGTCCCCTCAACAAAAATTAAAATCAATAATCTGAATATTTCCAAAATTCATTTAAAAAATACACTATAAGGAGGGGACGCATTGCTATGTATGAGCCCGGGGACTCGGAAAAACCTGTGTCCATTGCATACAAAGTGGGAGATGCTTAATTATTATCCATTCCTATTGCAACTACTACCAAGCTTAGATGCATGGGTGTTTGGTTGAATGATAAAGCGTAAGCAGGAAAGGGGTTGCGTCATGGTGGTAACACCTCCACATTCTAATCATCATACTGTGATTTTTATTTTCACTGACACCACGTCACTAATACTTTAAAAAAATTAACTCCTAAACAATCTGAAAAAAAACGGTGCGGTTTGTTTAGAGCAGTATTCGCAAAATCGAATTGGAACGGTTTGTCAGACATGGGTCCATAAGTGATTTAACCGGCCTAACCGGTAAACCGACCTATTTAACTTTTCTAACTGAGCAAGTCCTGAACGGTCAAAAAACTGTTGAAAAAATAAAAAAGATATATAAAAAAAAAACAAAAATGTGAAAAACATATAAAGAATAATTAAAACCACACACATTCAAATAAAGTTCAAAATTAATGAAAAAAATGGATTTTAACAAATCGATTTTTGAATTAAAGTGAGTATAATGACAAAAACAATTTTTAATCTTTACCATAATGTAAAGAATATTAAAAGATGCTTTACAAACCAAATTCCTTATTTTTGAGAATTTATATATATATATATATTTTATTTTTTTTTAAATCCTGGTGTATCATCAAAACCGCTCCAAACTGGAGCCTGGCACTAGCCGGTTCCAATCTAACCGGGCCGTTAGTGGTTAGATCGCCCGATTTTTCTAACAATGGTATATAGCCTAGGCTCTAAACAATCAAATTAGAACCTACCTTCAAATAGCATCGAGAAATGTGGTTTCAATACTGAAAATCTTTGTGATAGCCTAAAAATATATTTCCATTTGTATTTATAAACTTTAAAGCTTAAAAAATAGTGTAGATCAACAGATCTATGAAAACTTGAAAATCTTGAAAATTGATAGACCAAAAATGTGTTACAAAATAAACTATTTCCAAACCTTGAAATCCATATTTTTTCATGTCCATGCATCTTGATGTCGTGATGATCAATTTGAACATCAAAATAACAGCTTGTAGTAAACTTTTTGAGGTAGGCTCTAATGCTCTATATAAACTTTTCCAGTGAAAAAATGGGTAGAAAAAAAAAAGGATAATCTCGTTGTTTGAGAGAGAGAGTCCCGAGTCAGCAATGAGGAGAAAGTAAAGGGAGAGAGTAGTACGAATGAGGGAAAAATGTTTTTAACATTTTGGTAATGGGTTGGTACTGCGTCCACAAGTTGTGGTGAACCCTTTAATGATTCAAACTGGCCCATGCACATCCAAAGGTCAATAATAAACTTTGTTTTTATTTTTATTTTAAAAATGATATGTATCTAAAATTTTAGTTTTAGGTTCATTTTTATAAGTAAGATTGAATAGAATTAATAAAAAAATGTTTGGAATAAAAAATATTGTCCAAAATAAATTTATAGGCAGTTTAATAATTTTTATTTAAAATATTTTTTAATTATTTTTATTTATTTATATTTATAAAAAATACACTAACAAACCAAAATTTGGATAAGTATTTTATTTTTAAAAATAAAATACAAGATTAATTTTCAACCGTTAGATATAGCCATATAATCTCAATCATTGAAAGGTGCTTGTGAACCCTTCCACCCACCCACATGATGTGGATGGAATACTTTTCCTTTGGTAATAACAATACATTAGAGTGAGAGAGAGGCCAACTAGAAAATGAGAGTGTCACCTTCTACGGTTAGTTTTTCAACTTCCTTTTAAACAATATTTGCATCTTGTGATTATCTAGCTTTGGTCCCTACTCCATGTTTTAAAGAATTAATAAAATAAAAAAATTTATATAAAGTTGCAATTTTAGACTATTGAAGCAAGGTACACCTAATTGAAATGTAAGTCCATAAAAGGAAAAAAAAATTTTAAGTAAAAAAAATAGTGTCACAAGTTTTCTATTGATTATTTTTAAAATTTTCAAATGTTTATTGATCTACTCTACGTGTGTCATTTTTAAAAATGAAAAGCTTATATAAGGTTCCAACCTTAAAATGTAGAATCACATATGCATCTAAAAAATCTATCGAAAATATTGTTTTAATGTTGAATAAACCCTCTAATCGATCATCTCGACATTGAGATGTATGAATATGAAAAAAAAAATAAAAATTGAGTCCCAAAAATAGTGCATCTTGCAACACATTATCTAGACCGTCCATTTTCAAGATTTTTATATATTTATAAATCTAGATTTTTATATATTTATAAATCTACTTGATTTTAACTATTTTTTAAATTTAAATTTTTTTAATTAGGTATGAAAATAAATTTTAAGATCATATCAAGAATTTTTTATAACAAAATTACAATAAAATTTTAAGATGCCAATCACATCTTTTTTTAAAATTTAAATTTTATAATTAAAAAATAAAATAAAATTTAAAGTGTCAACGAGATTTCTGACATCGTAATAATATCTTTATGATATAAGGTTAAAAAAATGCATTTGTAGATATTTACAAGGCTACATCCCAAACTCAATTCTTACCCGGAATAAGGGCCGTCTCCCTAATAACTCACCCATTCAAAAAAATAAAATAAAAGTACATGGGGCATTTCTGTCAAATTCCGACAAACCACCGTCCATGGGCTCGATGTCCAACTAAAGGGGACGAGTTGGGACCCGAAGTCTTCGAACTTTCAATGCTCTAGGGGTAATTTCGTCATTCAGCACATCACCGATAATACTAGTTAAAGTAAGGGTTAAATTCGTCCACCCAAAAGTTGGATTCTAGAAAGAGTAAACAAGCTGGATTTAGTTTGATGGATCTACGTACATTCCACACGAACAAGAACGAGAGGAGAGAGAAAGTAGAGAGAGAGAGAACAGGGGTGGTAGGAAAGGAAGAAAACGAAAAGGGGAAACGGTGAAGAATGCTTTGACCTTCATTGGCCATGGCCGATAACCAGTCTTCAAAAAACCCTAACCCTAAAATTTGACCCCAATATCCTTCCTCCTATCCCCTTCTGCAAACTCCCCCCTATTAAAACATCTCACCTACCCTCTCTCTACACCCATTTCTCCTCCTCAATATTTAGGACTTTTCTCCATTCAGAGCTATATCTATTAGCTAAGGTTTTTTCTCCTGGTTTTATCTCTCTTCTGAACCAACCCATTTCCTGCTATTGAAGACTTTGAGCTCGAAAAGTCCCCGATCCATGTGAATTGCCTTTTTTTCAGCCGGTAACCCTAGCCATCCTGCAAGTTAGGGTTTCATATTATCACATTTCCCCAATTAACTAAGGCTTCAAAACCTTGTTTCTCGGAACCAGTTTTAGAAACTAAGGTTTTGATCCCTTAAATCCTTCAATCCATGGGGAATTGCTGTTCAAACCCTGGTGAACCAAACCAGAAAACACAGAAGAAGCAGAAGAAGCCCAACCCTTTCTCCGTTGACTATCCAGGGAGCTACAATTCAAGCAATTCGGGAAGCAAGCCGCCTGTTTTGAAGGACCCAACAGGGAGAGACATAGCCAGTCGATATGACCTAGGGCGCGAGCTTGGAAGAGGTGAATTTGGGATCACTTATTTATGCACGGATAGGGATACAGGGGAGGTTTTGGCCTGCAAATCTATATCAAAGAAGAAGTTGAGAACAGCAGTTGATATTGAAGATGTTAGGAGAGAGGTTGCGATAATGGGGCATTTGCCCAAACACCCGAATATTGTTAGTTTGAAAGATACATATGAGGATGATAATGCTGTTCATTTGGTGATGGAGCTTTGTGAAGGTGGGGAATTGTTTGACCGGATCGTGGCTAGAGGACACTACACCGAGAGAGCGGCGGCCGTTGTGACTCGAACCATTGTCGAAGTTGTGCAGGTTGGTTTTCATAAGATTGGCATGGTTTTTTATTCCAATCATTCTAAATATTAGATTTTGGCATTTGGGATGTGGTGTTGTTGTTGATTTGGATTTGTGTTTCTGCTGTTATTTACTCTACATCTATTTTTCTTTACTTGGGTCGTGGCAGATGTGATGTTCTTAATAGGCCTATTTTATAATTATCGATTTTTCTTTTCATGTTCTTATTTACTTGAATTTTCTCTCATATTTTCTAGTGGGCTGATTTATTTTGTTTGTTTGTCTTTTTTTTCTTTCTTGATCTGATTTTGTGTTAATTATACTTGTTTGCGGAAGGACGGAATTTATAATTGAGTTTTTATGATTGTGGTTTTGGCCTTGACTTGTTAGAAGACATTCATTTCATTCATGGATGTTGTAAGAAAGACTTTTGTGGCTCTTTTAATTTTCTTTTGTTTAGTAGGTTGTTCTGATTGGGTTTGCTTGTTGTCATTGATTGATGATGAATTTTGTGTCATTGATCGGGATTTTTGGTTTTGATATTTTTTGGGCATATTGATTCCTAAACCAATTTTGAGCGCATGTTATCAATCTGCCGGATTTTTATGTTTTAAATATATCAGGGGTTGTTTTCTTCTACTCTCTTTTGAACTTTAATTATTGAATATTCTACTTCTCAAGATTTTCTTGGGGTTTCTGATTCTTACCATTTTTTACTTAAAACGTTGATTAATATGCGATTTCTTTATCTGCTGCATTTCATGTGTTTTGTTGCTCTGTGTGTGTGTTGTGCATGTATATGTGTGCTCATTCATGCGCGTGTTGCTTTTGTAGATTATTGATTCATTCTTGAATTTTGTTTTTTAATTTATAGATTCATGTCTGATTTGTTTTTTTCATGTCTGATTTGTTTTTTTCATATATGTTCCTTTTCTATTATTAATTTTTTCGTATCTGTTTCTTATTTGTTATGACGGTTGTTGTTTACAAGGGAATTTGGGTTTTTAATTGCTGGGGTGTAGGATGTTATGGGTTTGATAAGAAGTTAACTTCAAGGGATACTTATCTTGTTTTGCTTCCAACATTCCTTACCTTTTCTAGTTTGCTTCTTTTTGTTAATTTTTTCTGATTTCATCTGTGTACATGGGGTTGATCCCCTAATATTTGGGGTGTTACGGATTTGACAACAATGACCTTTTTACAATACTTGTTTCTTTAGCTCTTTATCAATAGTGTTCCTTTTGCTTTTGAAGTTCTTTTCTTTTTGCTTTTCAACTTTGTTTCTTGATTGATATTTTTGGTTTTCACTGAGGATTCACTGTAGTGAGCTTCTGGGTACTTTGATTTATGCGGGTTTTGTAGTGATTGGAATCTTTTCTGGGTTGACTGAGATATTCTTTTTTTATTTGCACGCCCTGTGTTCCTGATATATCATCATCCAATTGTTAGTGACACTTGAAGTGCTTTTTTATGTTTGGGATTCCTTTTCCCTTTATTCTCTTTGTCCATGTGTAACATCTACACTAGCAATCTGGTATCCAGGTCTCTTTCCATTGATCTAGGCCTTCAATCATGTCATGGACTTGTGGCTGATATATCTAGCTGCCTGTACAAAGGATGACCGATTCTCTATCATGAATGATTTTTGGAATTGGTGACTTCTACCCATTTTGGAAATTGGGACCACTTCATGATTAGAACAAGGATCATTTCTGATTTTTCTAAATTTTTTTTTTGGTTTCTTACTTTTTAGATTTTTCTTGATTTAACGTCTTTGTTCTGGATTTCCCCTATTTGTAATTTAATGTGGTTATTTATGCTGTTTGTTGAATTTCCTTTGTACTTTTAGGTCTTTTGATTCCCAAAATTTGACATGAATTTGGATTGTGTTAATCTTTGCAGCTCTGCCATAAGCATGGCGTAATGCATCGTGACCTCAAGCCAGAGAATTTCTTATTTGCAAACAAGAAAGAAACATCACCATTGAAGGCTATTGACTTTGGGTTGTCTGTTTTCTTCAAACCTGGTGAGGAATTGGGATTCTTTCGTTTCTCCTTTTGTCGTTCTGGATAGGTTTGATAATTCCTTCTTGGCCAAGTGTAAGCAGACTGCTTTCTCTTTGACATTGCAAACTTGCAATTTATGTCTACTATGGTTCTTAAGCTGTTCTCGAGTCTTAAAAGAACTTGATCTGGAACTCTCAAACTGTAAAGTTATTATTTTTTCCATCTTCTGATGATGTAGCTGAATTTTATGTACAGGGGAGCACTTTAGTGAGATTGTAGGGAGTCCATATTACATGGCTCCGGAGGTGCTGAAACGAAATTATGGCCCAGAAGTTGATGTTTGGAGTGCTGGAGTTATTCTTTACATCTTACTATGTGGAGTGCCACCTTTTTGGGCTGGTTAGTTCTCCTTCCAGTGCTTGAATATCTCCTTATTATAAGCCAAACATGGAAACCTCCTATGTGTAGGAACTTAGGAGGCATATGGAGGTTGTATTGACCCTAGAAGCTTACGTAGCAACTGTTTGATATAAAAGGCTGTCATTTGAGCTTTGTACTATTCATTACTTCCTATCATGTAAAGGCTGAATGGAATTTGGCACTTATTGTGGCAGAAACTGAACAAGGAGTTGCTCAGGCAATTATTCGCTCAGTAATAGACTTTAAAAGGGATCCATGGCCTAAGGTTTCTGACAATGCCAAGAATCTAGTAAAGCGGATGCTCGAACCAGATCCTAAGCTTCGGTTAACGGCTCAAGAAGTACTTGGTATGTCCCTTTGTTTGAGGAACATCTTTGGACACTTTGTATTTGGTTTTGTAACTTTGCATTCCCTCTGTTGCGTGTGGTTTGCACGTGCGCATGCGTGCATATGTGTGTCAGCCCCGTGTGTATGCTTGCATGCAAATGTCTGTGGGTGGGTTGGGGTGGGGAGGGGGGGTCTTGTACATGAAATCTTGTATAAATAAGGGTATACTGTTACCTATTTATCTATTCTTTGAGAGAGCTGAAACAGTTGGAGTTGGAGTCAGGTACTGATCACTGTACTTTCTGCTGCAGATCACCCCTGGCTACAGAATGCCAAAAAGGCTCCAAATGTCTCTCTTGGTGAAACTGTTAGAGCAAGGCTCAAACAATTTTCTGTAATGAACAAGCTGAAAAAGAGAGCACTCCGAGTAAGACTTAAACACCTGAATATATCCCCACCGACCTCGAGTCTTGATTCTTTTACCTGCCAGTGAACTTGTCACATTATTGTTTCAAAGCTTAAAAACTGATTATAAGATAACAATAATATTTGCCATTTGCAGGTCATAGCTGAGTTTTTATCAGTTGAGGAAGCAGCAGGTATAAAAGATACGTTCCAAATGATGGACATCAACAATAATGGAAAGATAACCTTCGAGGAACTAAAAGTGGGTTTACAAAAGATTGGCCAACAAGCCCAAGATGCAGATGTTCAAATGTTAATGGAAGCTGTGAGTATCACTTTCAGCTTTGTTCCTTGATGACCATCTAGAATTCTAAACTGAACTAAACATTTCTTCTTTAGTGTTCTCTTTTTGATGGGTTTTTTGTATATATAGATCTCTTGTGGTTCTCAGGAAACTGCTAATGGATAAAACCTTGAAATTGAAACTCTCTCTCTCTCTGCTTCCCCCAACCCATATAGGTGCATAGAAGCGTTTTTTTTTTATCATTAGCTTGTATATATATTCTGCACTACACTAGTGGGACATTGTATTTTTCTTCTCTCCCTTTCTCTCTCAGACCCCGAATAGTTAATCATTAATTTTTTTTAATCATTAGTGTGTTATATTTTTTTTCACTACACTAGCGGGAGATCTATGATAATTTATAGATAGATAGATATTTGTCAATTAAATTTTGCCACTTCTCATTGACATGTTCCTCTCTGCACCTATAACCTTGTATATCTCCTGAAGTGAGAACTAATTGTCAAAGTACATACTTCTGAGAGCTTTTTCTATGCTATTTGATACGTGGCACTTACAAATTATTGTGACTTGATCTTATTATTATCTACAGGCCGATGCAGATGGAGATGGAACTCTGAATTATGCGGAATTTGTAGCTGTTTCAATTCACCTGAGGAAGATAGGAAATGATGATCATTTACGTAAAGCCTTCTTGTATTTTGACCAAAACCAGAGTGGATACATTGAGATTGAAGAACTCAGAGATTCCTTAGCAGATGACTTGGCTGATAACTGTGAAGAAGTTATCAATGCCATCATCCATGATGTCGACACAGACAAGGTTTGTTACATTCATACTTTTACACATGCTCGAGAGAGAGAGAGAGAGAGAGAGAGAGAGAGAGAGAGAGAGAGAGAGAGAGACGTACTAAGTACGTACTACGTTAGTAGTAGTAGTTAGTTACTTTACTTTTCTTTTACGTTACGTTCGTTCCGTTCGTTAGGTTCGGTTTACCGTTAGTTAAGT